CCATTTCCTCTTCCTCCTTTCACCCCAACAGAAATCGAGAAACGTGTGAACTTTGAAACTACCTCCAATGGAGACTGTTATCTCGATATATCGGGACAAATCCAACTCAGTACGAAATTGAAACATTTCCCCTAGTTTAATGCAATCTTGCCATTAATAGCAACAAAATGATGCAGTGTATTTCGCTCTAAATTGACATTCGCATTGGTAAATAATGTACGTGTTACTTTGTACAATGTTGAAGAACTTTTGAATGAAGTAAAGTCAAACGGTCAGCGGAACTTTGTCATCTTTTCCGTGTATTAGTCTGGATTTTTATTTTTACAACATTTTTATCCCTCAAACTTTTATCCATAAATCCATTTCGGCTCTTCTTCATCTTTATAACTCCCTTCAACCTCATTTTTTTTCTCAAGTTCCTATGACCAGAGAAATCACTAGGCCAAACGGCGTCACACGGATATCCTGAACTTTTGCGAATCTTCCAAGTTTCAAAGATAAAATTACGATGTAGTTTATCAAAAAATTTTCATTAAAGAGACTGACGTTCAATTCATCATTTAACATTGGATTTTCGCCACGGTAAATATTTGATGACGGATTATTGTCACCAAACGTCGACCGGAAATTTGTAATAGGAAATTAAGCAATGGGTGCACTTGACTTCTCAATGTTGTGAATTTGAATATCTCGGAATCTAAAAGAGATAGCAAAATTTTTCTCACGACCTTTTTTATAACCCTTAATTGGCTCTACAAAAAATGTCATGAGAAAAAATTTTCTATCCCTTTTAGATTCCGAGATATTCGTCAAAAACTGGAAAATAGTCAAAATCGACTTAACCCGGTTGACCGCTTCGCTACTGAAATCGTTCATGGTATTTCGTGTGAGTGATTGTTAAGCCTCGATCACTCGCGCTCGACCGCCAGCCTTCATCCGTCACACAGTTAGCGCAGCGCCGCTGCGTTGCCGCGCTGTTGCCACCGTGGCGCTTACCGCTACGCGCGCCTTCCAAGTGTGGCAGTGAATGTAGCAACACTGTTGCTCGAGAGGTCGACAGGGACTCACCGCATCGGGCGGCGCGGCGCCGCTTCTCTGTTCGTTCGACGTTTCTTGCCTTTTTTAGCTAAACAAATGTCCCGAGACGAAAACGGATAACGCGAACGGTTAATAAAAGGATTGAACTAGGAACTCTAATTATTTCAGAATTTTTAAGCGTCGAGAAACACGCTAAAACAAAAAAACGAAAACCGGCGGCGCCGCGCTCATTGAGCGAGTGATCGAGGGTTAAAGATTTCAAGATTTTTTACTTGAATTTCAGCAGTAATTTGCAAACAGTGTACCTCCAATTTTCATTTTATTGAGACTCTATTGAGGGCTCAAGTGATAAGGGTTTTGACAGGACAGATGACATTTCAGCCATTGCCGACAATCCTGCGTTGAACGCCACGTAATTACATTTCTACGTAAACGTTAACGGACCACACCACCGCTTCCATACGTGATCGCACTGTGTTATAAGTTCTGGTTGGCTAGTCTATATATTACGCTCATCACGTACTGCGGCATAGAAAAAGTGAAGAGTGTGTTGGTTGAAGGATACCAAATTTCTCAGGATGGAATACGATCCTTTTATTCATCGTGGTCATTTTTTGTTCGTTTTTTTCTTTCGTTTTTTTCATCAAGAGGAAAATCAAATACCCGAGATTTTCTTCTGATGAACCAGAATTATTTGAAGTTTGCAATTGCCGATTTAGTTGAAAATCAGAATGATCATATAATTATTCTATCCATCGCCAGAATGGTAGTCGACTATTTTGCCCACTGAGTAGATTTGCAAACTCATCAGTCAATTACCTGATTCGAGGAGCTTGGACGCATTCCATTTGCAATTTTGAGATTAACGTAATTGCCACTCGTCAGTGGATAAATCGCCTCAGTTAAACTTAAACGATTGGCCTCGTCATTAACAAAATGTACGTATTTATGAGAATGAATATTTTTAATGAATGAAGTGAAATTGGGAATGCCGTGAGAATTGGAAGCGAATCTGGCGCAGACTATTCGCAAATCAATTATAGATTTCTCAATGTTTGTCATACACTCGACGAAGACAATCAACTGATTCATCGAGAGTTCCAGACTCGTATTTCCCCGGAGAGAGATCACAAACTCCAATCAGATTCTTCTTCTTATCTATTAAATTCACTCACAACTGCTTCAAATTCAATTAATGATATTGAATGAATCTATAGCCAGCATTCATTTGACAATAATAATTCGAGTTCCACACGGAGAGAATTAAATAGTAAACATTACCATGGCCATAGGAAAGATTACTATGTTACATAGGAATGACTCCATGTCCATGGAAATGGTTACCATGTGAATGGAAAATAGTCCTATGCACATGGAAGTATTTCTAAAATAAACGGTTAAAATTCGCGATTGCCTCTTGATGCATTCATTAACTCAAGACGCTTAAGACTTAAACTCTTTAAAAAAATTAAACACATTGAACTCTTTATTTGAAATTTTCCTATTAAATTCTACAATATTTTTGCTCGAAATTTAAATATTTATTTAAATAACAAAGCTTCAATTATATGGAATAAATAGTGCATTCATTAGAAGTAGATAATCAATTAGAAATAAATAAACAATTTTTCGATCCAAACGGAGAATTATTACACAACAAAGTTTTTTTCCTTCGCCATCCAAACAATGATTCCATTTATAACAAATAAAGTCTTTACTTGTATGAGGAAAGCATTTGCTTAAATTAATAAAACTATTCATTTGATATGAATGAAAATGCAACTGGAAATTTAATTTAGGTTTTAATGGGCTTTGTTAGGAGCTCTCTGAATAAATCCATTATTTCATTCAAAAATATAATTTCTCTTTTCAATGGTTCTTATAACAAGAAAATTCTTGTTCTTGAATCGATGATATTTCTGTGGCTAACATTGATCTACTTCTGTCTCATTCCTTAATGGTATTTAATTATTTAGAATAATTTCATTATGTGTTATAGGACATTTTACGTAACATAGGGATCTCTACTCTGGAACGTAGTACCTATTACCATTGAGGAGCTTACTATGCCCCATAGTAACCATTAGGATGTTCCATGGTAATTTTTCCACAGTAACTTTGATAATTTTTACTGTGCGGATTCCGACATACTAATCTTTACTATTTTATTTTCTCCGCACAGAAAAATAAAATTGGAAAACAAATATCTCTATATTTTCTCATTCCATTAGTGCTGTTTATTCTACATATTCACGTTCGTAATTGTTTGTGGAAGTGAAGGATTCCCATGGAGAGGAGAATTCCGGAGCATGTTCGATATTAAGAGCTCTTATTCAGTGGAGCATAATTTAATACGCGTCTGTCAGCTCATGTTAATGCGAACTTGAAACACTCGAGGGAAAATATTCCACGAATTTTTACGGTAACTCTTCAACTTTCATGTTTTGAGCCGAACTTGTACATCCTCAGGATATTGATATTATTCCTGTAGGTGCAATTGTATTTATCAGAGTACCAGTAATCGTATTCTTTATAATATTCTATCATGTGGCGTAAGTTTTGTGGCAGTTATATAGATATGACATGAAACTTCAAATCCCGCTGAGTAATCTAGCGTCAACCTGATTTTTTTCAAAGAAAAAACAACGAAAAAGTAATGGTAGAGATTTACAAAACTCGAGAAAACCATTTCAACTCCGTAAACAAAGAGAAAAACGAGTGAATTTTCCAAGCATACGAGGAAACGTATCATAAAGTTGTAATTCAATTCCATCAGACGAACTTTTCCAGCCGTCCAACTGTCACTCCAGTCTGAATGACTCAAAGCACTGGGGGGGAAAACAGTAAAAAAGTGTATGTAATTTTCCTATGTACTCTAATTTGGCTTCAAACAACGTGAATCTTCACGTTGGTCACTTTGAAATTGGAACGGTAAAGCAAATATTGATTTTGTCAAGAGTATAACCATGTTTTATCACATTCTACGGGATTCAGGAACGTCCTCTCGAATACCATAAAAATCTTTCAGATTGGAATGGAACATCTAAAGTTGAGTGGAAAATCGATATCTTCCAATAAACTCGTTTGTAAGCTCCATGCCTTCAATAGCTCTCAAGAGTAATCCGGTGTATTACATATGTTCTAACAAAACAAATGGGAAATTGTTCTTGTATTGAATATAGTATAACTATTTTTGCTAGTAAATTCGCAATGCGCTTCCAAATGGTTACTTTGAACATAATTTCCTTCTATCATGCATAATTCATTGCTTATTTCGTTGTATTAAATTGAATAAGATTTGAAACTAATTATTGATTGAATGTTATCATCATCATTATTCTTATTATCCCTTTCTTCTACACACAAACCAATTGTCTTTTTTACAGATCTATCTCTCCCCTCAGCCCTTCGATAAAATGTTAATAGAAAAATGTTATTTATACATAATTGAATGAATTTGAAATAGCACATTTGAAGAAACCATCAGCTCACTTTCAGAGAAATTCATGAAAAATACAAAATTTTTGCAAATTTTCAAATAAATCAAAATAACGATTATTGCCATCGTCTTCATCTTTGAACTCGGTCAAAAGGACATCTAAACAAATTTTTTAAGCCACCGTTCAATCAATTCAGAACATTTTTTCAGTTATCGTGAAAAACACAATTTTTGACAAACTAAAAAAATTAAAAAAATTAATAAATGAATTAAATTTTAATTAATGGCGATTGATAGGGCTCAATAGTATCTACATTTGAGGAAAAAAAATTCAATTTCATTGAATCATTAGCGAACAATCGAGGAAAAATTTGTGTGCACGAAAAATCCAAATCCTAAATTTGAACGATCACAATGCGGAAGCAAAAAAAATTGCTTCTCCTCTCACACTGGAATAAACTTCATTTTGGTTTTTTTAAGTGCGTCCAAATTATGGAGAAAATTTGAATATTTGATGAGTCAACTATCGCAACAACCACAGATCAATTTTACACTCTTTTGCAAGAACTTCTAGAAGAAAAACGACTGTAGCAAGACACAGTCCAATTGCTAATAACTTAAATACAAAATCTAGAGCTTTCAGCTGGACTGGTTTATAGTTTGGCGACAGAAGTCCCATTTCATTTGCGCGATGTTTCTGCATGGTGAGACGAATCTTCTCCGTCAACCAATAATTAATCAACCCCGCTTCAAAGGTCTGCACAAAATAATCGTTGACACGTTGATGGAGTGGCCAGTCATCTCTGCACTTGTGGTTGAAATATGTCGACTTCAATGGTTGCTTCATGAGTGTCAGTGAGGAATTGCCATAAAATTCATAGAAGAATTCTCGGAATGTCACGCAGACAGCCCGCGACGACTTCAATAGCAATTCAGGACAAACTTCCAGCGGAACTTCAATGACTTCATTATCCGGACACTCTTCTTTGGCTCGTTCGACCGTTCCTGGTATCGTATAAAGTGTATAATTCAAATCTCTCAACTCGTCAACCGTATCAACTCCCTTGGCATGCTGAGGCTTCGTCAAAAATGAAGAAATGGCTCCCTGAAAGACGCCATTGCTTATCACCATGAACATCATCATCATTGAGAAGAAAATCCTGAATGACAATTTTTCACGCGTTGTCTTGATTGATACGTAAGTCAGCAGCCGTATCAGTTCTAACATTGCTGACGAAATATCTCTATTTTCGTACACCATTACCAGGAAGAAGATGGAAAAAATCAAGAGTGCCAAAACTCGAATAGGGACACTCCACAAATTATCAATTTTCTCCAATGTTGATAAGTAACCATTAAATTTTCTAACTGCCATTACTTGAGTCCACAAATATGGAAACAGAAACTGCCTCTCAGGATTCCAATACATAAATCCATAATTGAGGACCATGTCTGCGGTACCATCAGCAATGGTCTGTATCACTAAATCGCCAGGTGGTTTTAGCTTCAAAGCAATGCTTACGTTCAATATTTTCTTAAAATTTAGCGCCATCTGATTCACAACATTCATATCTTTCGCCTTCTTATTGGAAAATTTAGCAATAACACCTGTAATTTTGAATCCGTTCAAGACTTTTGTTTTGTCGTAGTGCAAATTCTGGCAGGAAACATCTGAAAATGGTATTGAAAAACATTGAATTTTTTAATAGTCCAATATATGCTGGACATTTCCAGTCGTTCCATTTTCAGTCGGCGGAAAAGTAAGTGGCATTTCAAGTCGGCCATGGTAACGCAGATAAAAAGAGGATGGGAACAAAATATAAAGACCCGAGAGGGTATACATATGGATGAATAAAATAAAACTATTGGATATTTACTCGCATCAAATAATTGGCGATAGATGGCTCCCTTAACTAATGGAATTTCTATCCTCTCCCAGGGCGTAAGTGCATAGTTTGTTATTGGATTCAGAGTATACAATTCGGGCATATTTTCCGTGTTCAAGCAGATGTATATCGACTTGATAATGTTCATTTTCCAGGCTGTCGTGAGAATCGCAACAATATTTTCGCACTGGTTCTGATTTATCCCGAGAATGAAATAATGTGCCATGTAATTCCACCACTGCGTTTCCTTGAATGATGAAAGATCTGATTCCAATTGCTCCGGGGAATCTCCCTCCAAGATAATTATTTTTGGTTTGAAATTGAATGATGCATTCTTTCCGCTATCATCGCCAAAACCCAGCATGTTATTCGCGAAGATAATTGAGACTGGACGTGTGTCGAATAAATATTCATCGATTAAATCGGAAATATTTCCGTGGAAAAGGAAAAAAACGGGATTTGACGCGGTGTAATTACTGTAACATGATCCGAGTATGTTTCTCTGCAAAATAAGTAATCTATGTAATAATGAATCAATTCATTGTGACACGCATAAAAAAAAATCAATAGAAAACCTAGCGAAATCGTGATTTCGCTTGGTTTTCTATTGAATTTTTTCATACGTGGATTCCAATTAAATTTCAAACCATCGTGGTTTTCACATCTGTAGAATTTCCGAACACAGATTTATTTTGAATATGGGCTATGGCTACACTTGTAATTGTAAAGAATAACAAGCAAACGATCACCATGATTCGATGATTGAATAACAACAACGGTGTACTGAGTGAGCTCATTCCGTATTAACTGTCACAGTGCTACTAATATAGTGTGTAAATTTCTACGTCAGCTATATTCTTTTATCAATTATTGATTTAAAATTTAATCACGTAATTGAGCCATTGTCATTTCATTAATTTATAATGTTTGGCCGATGTGACCTTTTACTACGACTCTTAATATGTTGATGAACGATCGATGTTGTTTCATATCAATTTCACAAGTTACGTAGAAAAGTACTCAGATAATTAATTTGTATTACTCCATAAAATTCACTCCATCACGGAAAAAAATATACCTGTTTTGAGTATAAAATATACTTAAATCAAGTTTTTTTTCCGTGACTTTACACTGTTCAAAATTTTCGTCTGAATTTTCCGTACCAAATTCCGGAAATTTTTCTCGTCTTCAAGTTGCACTGAAATTTCAGGAAATTTTGTCATTGAATAATCAAATATTCCTTTGATTTTCTGTTCAAATGATTTGGAAGACAATAAAATACTTGATTTTTCAGTTCAATTATTCTGTGAAAATTCAGAAAAATTGAAAATTCATGTCATTTTGTTTCTGAATATTCATGTTCACTGTGACTCCCATCAGATTTACTATAATATCTTCCATGCAATTTCAAAAAATTTCCAGCAGTCTATGCAATCCAATTAAATGGTAGTTCTACGTGCTATAAAAAAATTCCTAAATTTAATTTCTTCTCGTATTTTAGTATTTGATTCTCTCTTCATCAAGAATTCAATGATCAATACGATGGTTGCTAATACTAATCCAAAAGCCAATAATGCAAATGAAAAATCCAATGCTTTCAGCTCAACAGGACGATACTTGGTAGCAGCACGTTCCACGTCCTCAGCACGTTTTTTATCCAGTACGGTTGATATACTATGGAATGCCCAGCGGGCCAATAATCCGGACTCCATTATCTGTGTCAGGACCGCTTCAACCCGATGCTTCAGAGGCCAATCTTTACGGCACTGGTGATTCCAATAATCTACAAACAACGGCTCTCTCGTGGTATGAATTGGTTTCATCCAATACTTGTTCAAATACTTTGCTTTCGTCCCAACGCAAGCTGCAGAAAGTGACGCAAGTGCCATCTCAACGCAATCTTTCTGGGTAACAAGCACCACACGATTGTCCGGAAACATTGTACGTAGATATTTTACATTCTGTTGAATGCCATATAAAGTATAATTTAAATTCTTCAAATCTTCAGAATTTTCGGGACTGTACCCCTCCTCGGGTTTCGTCAAAAAAGCCGCCAATCGTCCCTGGAAAACTCCGTTGGTGATGACGATGAATATAAGAATTTTGCTGAAGAAAATTCTCATAGCTGTCGACTGAAAGTTATTCTGAATGGAAGCATATGACAAAAGTCGGATGATCTCCAATAATGCCAATGAAAATCCCTGCCGCTTATACACTGCCATCACTCCAAATGTTATTAAAATCGTGAGAAACGACAAGACTAGAACAGATCTGCTCCACAACTGTGCAATTTTCTCAAACGTTGACAGATAATCTTTAATTCTTGTGATAGCAATCACTTCAGGCTGAAAGTATGGATAGAGATAGCTTGCATTGGTCTTGGAGAAGGACAATGTAAATCGAATGTCAATGTCCATACTTTGATTGGCAAGATATTGAGGTATAATATGGATGTCATCAATTTGGAGCACCAGAGTTGCATTTAATCGTGTTATTATGGTGTCGAAGACAGTTTTACCGAAAAACTCCAGCATTTTATAGCCTGCCTGTTTGTAATTCTTACCAGGAATGAATGATACGTTATTTTTCGGTGCTGTTAAGGCCTTTATTTCGTAGCCGTTCAAGTGCTTCATTCGGTCGAAGGTCAGGCTGTCACAAGCGATGTCGTCTGAAAGGTTATTGAGTATCGTACATCAAAAGATTACTCATAGGTATGGAATCAATGCTCTCGTTAATGCATTCATATGCCACTTCTTACTTGGATTGAGTAATTGACTGTAGAGTGTCCAACGGTCACTGGAATTGAATCTATCTGCGCTGGTGATAGCTTGCCAGGGCTTGGGTGCATAATTCGTTATTGGATTGAGTGTATACAGCACAATTGCCTGCTCTGCATTCAAACAAACGTAGGACGACTGTGGAATATGCATTCTCCAAGTTATCAGTAAACTCTCCAAAGCATCTTTACAGAATCTCGCTGAAATTTCCAAAATGAAATGCGCAGCCATGTGATTCCATTGATTCATCTCCTGCAGCAGTTGGAGATCGTTGCCCAGCTGCTTTGGTGAATCTTCCATCGCCATTATTATAATATCGGGTTGAAAAACATATAGCCCATCACTCGCATCGCCAAAGATGAACTCAGAGTGACTGTCAATTGTTACAATTGGGATGGGGATTGATTCAATCAGTGACATCAAGATGCGTCCATCGAAATCACCAACAATGACCATTGGATTCGAGCGAACGTAATCTTTATAGCATGATTGAATAATACTTTTCTGTAATGATAAGTTTGCAAATATTTTTGATTCTGAAGCAAACGATACTCATGATAATGAATCATACCATGGCTGCTGAAGTGATATAAGACCTATGGAATTCCGCACGTTTGCCGATATTTGCTAGCACTGGTACGATAATGATAAGCAGACACTGTAATTTCAACAGCATTTTAGGTCTTTATTGATGAATATATCGCACCAATTCGAAGCGTAGGTGAGAAACTTAGTTGTTCACTACTGGTGTTGTAGTGATACTGGCGTTTTCTGTATCTCTGACAAAGTTTGCTTTTCCAAAACACTTGCAGGCGTACTAGCGAGATTCTAGTCTTTGGGCTCCACACAACATACTGGTGGGGGTATAGGAACCGAAGGCTACAATCTATCCAGTATGACTTCAACGTGTTCAAATGCAATAAAAATAAAAAGTCCTTCAAATCCCTGGGCTCTAGAATTTTCATCATTGATTTCTCCAATGATTATGGAAGATGACAGTCCAAGTTGGAAATTCAACCCTGTAATTTATCCGCCCGGCAGCTTGTTGAAAGACGTAAAATGTTTTAGTAGCTCTTTTTCCAGGTAAAGGGCTGATTCTAGTTTTAGAGTTGTTTAAGTGCCACTCAAACTTTGTCATTTCGATACATGAGTAGCACGCGCTCACTGCTGTACAATTTTCTTAGCAATGTGGAGTCTCATCAACGCGACCCAAGTTTGCATTTGACAAAAACGAATTCCGGAGCCGTTTGCGAATGAAATTGTAACAAAGGTGGGCCAATTAATGCGCAGATGGATGCGGCCCTCATGAAAAATTAAATCCTGATGTTGAGTCAATGATATAGATTTCTCTCGCTTGTAATGATCAAAGATCGGATTTCGAACATTAACAACCGTTTCACGTTCCATTTGGAGGAATCCATTTCATACGTAATGAGAGTTTTTTCCGTTCGAATGGTAAGTTGAAACTATTGCGAGTGAAAAATAATTGGAAATACGTGTGGATGGAGGCAGGAAAACTCACCGTAGTATCGCAGATATTGAGCACATCAGGCCATTGATCCAGAAACAACAAAACTTAGATTAGATGGGGATCTACATAATTTGGTTGATTTCCAAATTTTCCGATAATTGAGTTACGCTCTCCCTCAAAGGGTGAGGCTGTCAAACTGATCTCAGATCGACGAAGGCGAGTGACAACTTTTCAGAGCTGAGATGCATCAGTTGACAGCATCGTAAGTAACGATTTAGTGGCGCGACGTGGACAGTCACACGGACAGCAATGTTCAGTAAAAACCGATCACGGAATCGACTCAGAAAATTTGAGCGATCATATCGTAATTTTTCACAGGAGATTCAGATAAAAATTACAGAACGCTCTGGAAAAATTCCGTGACAGTTCTGTAAAATTTCCAACAACCACATTTCGCTCCGGAATTACGGAAAAGATACGTAATTTTTATTGGACTAGATTAGTCTGCGCGTTCCGCGCGCATATGTCCTACTCCATGAGGGTCAATGTATGTCAATTGTAGTAAATAGTGTTTTATTATATTCTATACTATACTATATAAACTATGTGTAATATACAATACATAATAGAGTACTATATGTATTATAAAATATAATGTAGATAATAAAGAAAAATGGAATAATAAACTGATAACCATAATAACATACATTGAGTATACGATATTGTGTTCTATTGCATATACCATTATATATACCTAATTCGTTATAATATAGTATAGTATAAAATATAGTATAATATAGTATTATCGTAAAATCGTTAATGTATATTATCATCATTTATAAAAAACCTAATGACACAATACGCCGAATAGATTGGCTTCAAAAACCGTTACACTGGATTTTTTATTAAAGGACATTTCTCTCCGTTTATCATAATGTTGGAAAAAATTGAAAAGAGCTGGGCATCAACACTCACCATGGTCAAAATCCATATCGTTCACAGCCTCGTGGAAATCTACAGAAAAAAAAGCATTCCTCAATTACCATCGTTATACATATTTTGCAAAATCAATTTTATAATATCTTACACCTCTACCTCGCATTTTTCCATAAACATAGCTTACAAAATAGAATAGTCCTGTCGATGAATATTAATGGAGTACAGGGGAGATACGGAAAAATAGCAACCATAGCCGCTCTATCTGTGCGTAATGGAGGTGACGCTGTCAGGGAGGTACATTTCCAAAGTTCCGGGAATTTCAATGAATTCGGTTTTTAATGCACCGGATTTGGGAAATGGAAAATGTGGCAGTGAATTTGTGCTTTCTGCTAAGGATTTCTCGTTAAGGATGGTACAGTAATTTTTGTGTAATACCACAAGAGCTTCAAAACTGTCGGGTATTTTCTAATAGGGCCGTTGCAAAGAAAAGAAGGAGTCAAGTTTCTCAAATTAAAAAATCACGAGTGATTTTTCCTGAAAAATTTAACGAGTTCGTTTGTATGTGGGGAATCTTGAGGAAAATTCCTAATTAATTTTGAAGCTCGAGTGGCACTCGGAAGAAAATTATTTCATCCAAATTTCGGCCAATAGATTTGTACTATTCGTCAGTAAATTAAATTACTCATGAATCCAGAATTCAGCAATACCCTAATCTCAGCGATCTCGACAAAAAGGATTTCAAGTATTTGAAAAAGTGAAAAGCTATTTTTAATGGTTCTACACCAATTAAAAAAATCATTCTAATGGACCACGCTGGAGTAGGTACTCTTCACTTACTCCGCAGTGTTTCATTATGCACCCCTCTGTATTTTCCACTGGCTTGCGAATATTTTCGCAATTAAGCTCTTCACCCTGTTCACAGTACTCTGAGAACAATGTGAAATAAATCGAGAAGGAAGTGACAGTGGAAGAAATTGGATGAGACCATGGCTGAAAGAGTTTCAGTTTTATTATTGCGATAAACGTTTCATAGAAATAAATAAAAGAATGATCAAGCGGAAACAAAAAAAAGTTTTGACGAACGAAAATTGGCCGGAGGGAATAGCACCATAAAACTATAAACCACGTTACAATGTAATGACACAACTTGAGGCGAAAAAGCGAAAAACATGAGGCACTCCACAGCTAAAACGTTAGTATCAACAAAAGATGGGAAATGGGAGTGTGAAAATAAAAGGCGTATAAATAAATGGTAAAAATAAAGCGTGAACTTTGGGACAACATGTAAAAAAAAAGGCATTGCAAAGCCGCTGAAAACGCGAGGAGAATAAATTTCACAACAGCCTCGGGAGTTTTAGGTAAATTCTATGGTAAAGTTTTGTTAGTCTGTTTGTCAAACGAAACACTCGTGTTTTCAACGGAAAGAGATGAAATGTTGCATGCGTATGAAGAATTGAAAGGATCGATGTTAAGAAATATGGTGATGGAAGCCCACGATTCCATGAAAAACTCAGCCGATTCCCGAGTCCAATAATTGGAACTGAAAAGTTCTACTCAAGTCTTTCCGTTCAGAACTGGATAAGTCTTGGGAAGGCTTTTACCAAGTGCGCCCGAAAGCTCTCTATCTCTGGTGATGTTTATTTTAGCACTCGTTAGGTGTAACCACGATTTGTACTCAGACCTTCCAAATCCTTGCCGGTCCCATTAATTCTATGGGCCTATGAAAAGCGTTCCTTTTTTCTTATATCCCGCCCACAATAATTATAAAAAATACTCTATAATTAAATAAATACCCGATTGGAGAATATGAAAATATATTAAATTGTCTACCTGTATTTTTCTACTTTTTGTTTGTAAAAAAAATAAATTTGGACTGCCCGGAACGCGAACTCTGGACATAATTTTTGCAAAAGTCGACTTTCCCCGGCAAAAATCCAAAATCTGACACTTTGGTTCCGGGTGAAAAAAAAAAAATTAATTTCAACCTTTTCCCCACCTCCAAGGGTTCCATTGGCATCAGAATCGCGAGTAGCTGCAAAATCAACCCTCACTTGGCGGAAAAATTCGATTTTGAATAGAATGGAATTGGTTTTAAGGCTCTATCTGTAATAGTTAACGAGATAATCACGAAAAACGAAATGGCCAAAAAAAAATTAATGTAATTCATACTTTATAGCCTGTAGGAGAAGGAAAAACGCGATTCTGAGCCGTCCACCTCCCTACAAGGAACCAAAATTTTCTCAGGAATGGAATGGCGTTGGTTTTAAGGCTCTATCTCTAATAGTTTCCGAGATAATCGCGAAAAACGGAAATCGCATAAAAAAATAATTTAATTTAGCTTGTATAGAGGCTGTAGGGAGTGAAAAAACGCGATTCTGAGCCGTCC